CCCATGCAGGGCTCTCACTGGGGGGGTGTCAGGCTGCCTGTGGCTGAAGGGCCCGGCCTGCCGAGTCCCCTCCTCTTGACTCCCACAGTAGACGAAGACTCCTCCTGTTGTATGCCCAGCTCAGGCCCTTCACTTACCCTGCCGCCCTGGCCCGTGCCCGGCGGGTCCCTGCAGCCCTCCCCCAGCTTGTGCAAAGAGCCTATTGCTTGCCCCACAGGGGAGGAGCCCGGAGTGGCTGTTATACCATTTACTGCAAGCCATGGACCCCAGTGGTTGATGGGAGAATTCAGGGGCACTTTGAGCCCTAGCAATCTTCTTAAGCCAGCCCCTTCTCCCCTGTGTATTTATTTGCCATTGCCACCCCCAAGGGTGCTACCCCCGCCTTGCCAGCTGGGATTGTTCAGTGAGCATCAGTAGGGGCCTGAACTGGTCATTCTGGCATCCGCCACCCATGGAGCTGCTCTGAGCACAGCTCAAGGATTGTGACCAGAGCATGACTGAACCAGCTGCTACCAGAGATAATGGTGGAGCAGGCCTCTCCGGCCGGGACCATCTACTCACACTCCATCCATAGTCCCAGTGGAGGTGGATGGTCCTCATCAAGTGACCAGCACTGAAATATTTAATGCTAATGATGTTTAAATTGTCATCATTCGGGTTCAGACTCAACACCTCCTTGAGATGAATGGGGCACTGTACTCCTTGCTTTTGGGCCTAGTTCTATATAATAGAGGCCATGAATTGCAACCCAAAAAGATGTCAAGTATCTGCATCTGAAGAAGTGAGTTTTTTTACCATGAAAGCTTATGCCCAAATAAATCTGTTAGTCTTTAAGGTGCCATCAGACCCCTTGTTGTTTTTGTTAACCCAGAAAGAGGCTCCACTCCAAGAAAAATCAAAATAGCCCTGTAATAGGGACGCATCTGGCTTTTACAGCTCCCTACAGGCAGCTGTGTGGTCCTACTACACCCTGCCCCAAGAGAAGAACAGCGAAGGTGGGTCATCCAGGCCTGCCTAGGGAGGCCTCAGGGAAGCAGCCAATCAGAGCCCAGCAGGCTCAGATAAAAGGATCTGCAGGGGCTTAGCAATCAGTTCCTGGTTGGGACCAGATGGGCGGGGCCAGGTGCTGCTCTCCAGCTGCCGAAGCTCAAGGGACTGCCAGAGTGAGGTTCTGGCTGCATTTGCTGAAGCTGGAGAGAGAGGCCCCGAGAACTTTTAACCCTGAGGAAAGGGGGGCTGATAAGAAGGCCACAGGAAAAGGCCCAGGGAAAGAGCAGCAGCGCACTGCAGTTGGGCAGCATGGGGTTGCTGCTTGTAGCGTCCCTGAGGTGGAACCTGGAGCAGGGGGCGGCCTGGCTTCCCCCTCCGGCAAAGTGGGGTAAACCTGGAGAAGAGGACAAGGTCTGTTTGGAAGCCTGAGCGAAGGGCTGAATTTAAAGGGCCCAGAGCTGGGGCTGAAGACTCTGGGGAGGGCAGACAGTTCTCTTGGGACTTTGGAAGGAGTTTAGTTTGACTCTGTGAGCCGGCCGGAGGGCTGAGCCCCTGAAGACCCACCCAGCCTGGTCGACAACCTACAGGGGAGTGGCAGGAGTGGGGAAAGGACTGCGGTACCACACCCACCCACCAGCAGGCACTCGAGAGGGGAGTGGCCCCCGTTACAAGCACATTCAGCGGGGGGATGGTGGAAGTTGATCCTAGTGATAAGAGCTGCTCTGACTCAACCCACTCTCCTTGTAACTAACTAGCTGCCTGTAGCCGGACGGGCTCTCCACTGCCCTGCAGACTCTGCTCCCGGTACCTGAGGCAGAGTGCAAGTTAACCACTGAGCATGGAAAGGAAGTTAAGACCCACTTCTACATCCATTGGACACTCAAGGGCAGCTTTCCAGGGGATCAGGCTCTCTCTGGGCAGAACTTAAGTACATTTTCAATACAGCTAGAGCAGGGATGGCCAGCAACTTTGGAAGGAGGAAAACATTGGTACAAGTGGATTAAATAAACACATTCTACCTCGGGTCCGCATTGGAAATTCATGGGATTTTTGACAGACCACCCCATTGCGGGTTGAGGCCGCAGTTAATTTTGTAATAAGTCCTTTGCTTTGCTGCACCAGGGTCATTACAGAGTCACACCCACAGGAATGCTGCTGTAGTGAACACTTCTTTCCCTGCCTCCAGTGAAATGGTGGGAGGGAAACGTCTCACTGCTGTTTCACTTCTTCCTGTGGAGTTGGGTTCGAAAACACGCTGTCTACAGTGGGCTTTTTAAAGAGTTTATTTAAACTCACTCCTTCAAGTGGGCTTAGAATCCAGCTGCGTATATTTAAACACGCCTCTGTAACCTTCATGCTAGGGTCTGTATGCTCCTACAGTCACATAACCTTCCTGGTCTTTGTTCCCCCCTCCTGCTGTTAGATTAGCCATTTGGGGTCAGGACTCAGTATCCACAATGTCTTGCACCTGCTCCTTTATTATTTACTGTCATACGTGGATTCAAAATGCATCAACTCTTCTTTGTAATAAAGTAACAAGCACTTGAGATGGGGCTGGGGGAAGAGGACAGCTTGCATTTGCCTGTCCATCTTCAGCACCACCCCCCTTCATGACTTCGGTAGGTTTGGGAGCACCAAGAGGGTGGTTCCTGCCAAGATCCCTTTGGCTGTAAGCCCTGCTTTCCTTCCAGCATTTGCCTCAGTGGCCTGGGTTCATACGTAGGAATCGCCACCTCTTGGGCTCTCATTATTTCTGACAGTTACACAAAACGCAGTTTAAACAAATTATCTAGTAAATCGAACACGTTTAATTTCTAACCGATGAATGCAATAAAGTCACACATTATCCAAAGTCACGTACAAGCCCTCCTTCATTCTGAATGTAACGACACAGGCCAGCAGCCAGACACAGCCCTCTCACAACAGACCGCATCGAAAGAGAGTTAGTTTGTTGTTGCAGCATCGCTAGTGTTTGCTTGTCTACAATTTGTACAAGTGGCCACTGCTTGGGATGGTCACTGAAGAACCACAACTCTACACAAATCCTCCATTCCCCTTTCTAGAAGAGACACGTTCCGCCACAGCTGTCAGCCACGAGCAGGAATGCAAACACTGCATTTAACAGTGAGCAGCTCACCCGTTCAAACCCCTGCACTCGCTTGATGCTGACAGCACCATAACGAGGGAGCTCCTGATCATCCCCATGGAGGCACAGCCCAAGGCCAGACAGGCAGAGCCAGGATTAGAACGCGTGACTTCCAATCCAATGCTCACCCCAAAGAGCCTATTTTTAGTGGGTGGAATAGGGCTGGCTCCAGCCCCAAAGGCTATGCATGAGTAGTCCTGTCCTGGCTCTAGAAGACATGCAAGTGGGCAACAGCTCACTTACCCTCCATTCTCTCCATAGAGAGAATTTACAGAACCCCACAAGGGAATAGTGATAAACACAAGTTGCATACAGATCCTAGCTAGAAGAGAATGGACATGTGCAAACCTGAAACCATGGGGGCCATACACAAACTGTACGTATAAAACAAATCCGTGACGAGCATTCTCACAAGATAGCAGCTGCAGGATGAGAGAGACCCATGCTATACACAGGGGGGGGGGGGGGGGGGGGGGGGGGGG